CCCTCGCTGCTGCCCAGAGAGAACTTACTGCCTAGTTAACTGGAAGTCTGACCACATTTCCAAACTTGTTCAGTTTACCCACCTTTTTTTGAGTTGATTTATTTCTTTTGAGAGAGAGAAGCAGCGGAGGAGGGGCAGAGAGAGGGGAGGACAGAGGATCTGAAGTGGGCTCCGTGCTGACAGCAGGGGGTCCGATGGGGGGCTCGATCCCACAAACTGCGGGATCATGACCTGAGCAGAAGTTGGACGCTTAACTGACTGATTTACCTACTTGGATAAGAAGCGTCAAGACTTGAAAAACAATTGCACAGTGAATCTAAAACGAGTTACTACATCCAGAGCTCTTACGGTGCAGACACACAGTGAGCCTCGTGTAGGTGTTATCTATTACACTTACCAAAAGGCTCTGGGGGCATGGAGACGGCTGGCTAGTTCAGTGGGTAGGACATGCAATTCTTCATCTCGGGGGTCATGAACTCAAGCCTCACATTGGGAGTAGGTATTACTTACAATCAATCAATACATACATACATACATACCTAGCTAGCTAGCTAGCTAGCTCTGGGGATAATCAGTCTGCCCTTCCCCAGGGCTAATCAAACATTGTGAATACTAACACCAATGGCCGCCCCCAACCCCCCCACCAAAGGGCAGCTATATTCTTGTTACAGAGTAGTTTTCAACTTCTACTTAAGGAAAAGGATGGTGTTTCCTGACTTTGTTCTTCAACTCCTTACAGGAAATGATGTTGTTGTAGGCAAGGACAAAGGTACAATGTAAAAACACGTAACAAATGCATCAAATCATCTACTAACATTGTAGGAGAGCCTTTCAGGGGCGTGTCCTTTCTGCTGGTCTAGAGCAGCGAAAAGATTGGCAACCTCCTGAAATCCCACCCCTGTGAGTTTGGGATTGAATCTGACCCTGGTTTCATGGAGGTGGCCGTGGAGATCAAGGGACGATGACACTTCTTGAGTACCTGCTATGTTTTTACCACCGCTAGCTAATGTAATCCTTATAATAGAGTCTGTTCTATTACAATGCTTCTTTTGAAAATAGGAATCTCTTCCAACACGACTGATGTATCGTGAGCATAGTGTGGATTTTGCATTTGCCTGTGTTTGGTTTTACCTGTGGGAAAGACTAGGCAAACACAGAAAACTGCACCCAGCTGAACTGAGCCACGGAGAAATACACGGAAGGTGAACACACACACATCTCAAACACCTACCCGCTCCCCCGGTTCGCCAGGTATGCTACAAGCCAAGCCCACCCATATCCGGTGTTTCAACTCTCCTGGATTCCAGATAACCTTCCTCCTCCCATGTCACAGGGACACACAGAACCCTTCTGGGATCTGCTTCCATAACTCTTTTTCAAGGCAAAGTGCCATATTTATTATCGTGCTTCTCTATTTTAACCATTTAACGTGTATAAAAGCATGCTACTGTTTTTATTAGGTCCCTGTCTCTATTTGTCATTGACATAGACATTGTGTTCCTGAGTCCGTTTTTCCTGTAAGCTCTGGGGGTTTTATTGTGCAATGTGGATTATCATGGTGGCTTTCAGGAACACAGAGATGCCTTACAGCAGCACAGACTTTAAACAAGAACTCAACGGGCTGCCTGGGTGGCTCAGTCGGTTGAGCGTCCGACTTCAGCTCAGGTCATGATCTCACAGTTGGTGAGTTCCAGCCCCGCGTCGGGCTCTGTGCTAACAGCTCAGGGCCTGGAGCCTGCTTCAGATTCTGTGTCTCCCTCTCTCTCTACTCCTCCCCTTCTCACACTCTCTCTCTCAAAAATAAAGAAAGATTAAAAAAAATTAAATAAGAACTCGACCAATACTATTGCTCTTATTCCTTATGACACGAATAAGAAAATAAGCTCAGAGAAGATGGTCACGTACCCAAGGTCACCCATCCCTGACGCCATGTTCATCTGATTCTATCCCCCACCCTCCTGCCACTTTCAACACCTCCGTCTAGTCTCCAGGCACGCGGAACTGGACAATGGTTGCAAACCAGCTTCAACATTAAGAAAATAAAACTTTTCCAGAAGGACCTTAACTCAAGATGATCCACATGAGTATCTGAATCATCGATTTATTTTTTAAATCAAGTGGGTAATCTCCTTTTACATACTCAATATGTCCCGTTCTGCTCACACTTTCATACATTTTTCTCATTTGTGAGAGTTGCTGAATAGAGCAAGTGAATTGTTTTACCCAGTAGGTGATAGGGCAATGATGAAGAAGCCTCGTGATTAAGTAGAGTTGGAACCTCTTATCTTTCTCACTGAGTGGGAGGCACCATTAGTAGTGAAAGTAATTACCTGTGTAGAACACACTGATTGCATCGAGTACCTACTATAAGCCACTAACATAGTCATTTCAATTTTAGAGCTTCTTAAGAGATCCTCATTTGATGCTAATTTTACATGTTTAGCAAAAGTACATTATTCTTGGAAAACATTGTGTTAGCTGGACTAATTTTTTAAACCTCTTCAAGGTTGTCTCCTGGTCGTATGCGCCTAGATGGCCTTTCCCCAAAATGGCAGCCCCAAAGAGTTACACGGAACAAAGTTGGAAACCAGGAGCTACCTAAATGTGAAAGAATCTATTTGGTGAGAGTTGATTTTCCACGGGATTGAAAAACCTCGTGCTCTCATCTATAAAATCACAAAGTCCATTATGCGAAACTGCCGGGTACTTAAGGCAACAATTCCTAAGAAATTGTCCACGCCAAATCTTGTTAAATGTTGTATTGGAGAGTTTCACTAAACTTCAAATTCTTCTCTGATAGAAATATTAGAAACGGGGTGTGCTCGATTAGATTGAGCCCAGGCCAGAGACCTGACACTTAGGGGTGGTAACTCAGCAAAAACTCAGCGAAGGGGTTTCAGAGGCCAGAACATTCTTCCCGTTCTTCCAACTGGCCAGCAAAGTGACCACGGTGGGCGCCCTATCCTTAGATCTGTAAAATGAGCATATCAAACAGGTTTCCCGTCTAAGTCCAAACTTCTGTATAGTCAATCAGCCGCATTCTTTACTGTGTTTGCATTTACAGTGAGGAGTCTGTTGGATTGACTATGGTGACTTAGCATTTGTGAGCTTGTCCCTACACATGTATATCAACTTAATTTTACTTAAGTAGCACCAAAATATTACCTTCCCTAGGCAAGTAAGACATCACTGGTATACCTAGCACATGTGACGGGGGCTTGGAAGTAATCTCCAAATTAATACTACTGCAAAAAGTTATTTTGAAACCTCATATTAGTATCCGTTTGGCCCCTCTGACAAAGGTTAGTGTCGCTTAGCCAACATAGCCACGTTCCTTTCATTGCTGCCCATGTCACAAAGCCAAGAGATGACTCTCGGATGTAATAAGGTAACCTGATGAAAAGAACAAACAAGTTTCCAAGTGGGAAGACCAGGTTCAAATCCGGTTTTTATCATTTTTACCAGCTGTGAGGCATTGGGCAAATTACTTAACAGGTTGAAGGGTCAGTTTCCTCTTATTTAAATCGGACATAACTGTAGTACTTGCTTCATAAGATTGTTGGAAAGACTCAGGGTGCCTTGGTGGCTCAGCTGGTTGGCCGTCCAACTTGGGCTCAGATCATGATCTCGCGGTTCGTAGGTTCGAGTCCCGTTTCAGGCTTTGTGCTGACGGCTCAGAGCGTGGAGCCTGCTTCAGATTCTGCGTCTCCCTCTCTCTCTCTGCCCCTCTCCTGCTGACACTCTGTCTCTCTCTCTCAAAAATAAATGAACATTAAAAAATGTTAAAAAGATTGTTATCAAGACTCTACTCAGAGGCCTTGTGGAATTTTGTTTCTTGTTATTGCTAGAAGGGACCATAAGAACCTCCAGGTAGCAGTGATTGCCTTCGTGAGGAAGGAATACTGTTGTTTGGATGTATTTTTTTCTCCAACTTGTCTTACCTTTCTACTTGAAGTTTTTAACTGTAAGCATTTATTGTCTTTTTTACCTACTTCTGTTTTTTAATGCCTTCTGATTTATCTCAGGTGAAATTGTAAGCTCTCTTTATATTGTTTTGTTTTTTAGACTTCTCTGATTTAAAAAAGCAATAAAATATTATAAAAATTAAAGAAGATAATATGGGTTAGGATGTTTTTCATACTGCCTCTCACAGAATAAACATTAATCAAATTGATCACAAGTGATATATCACCTCCATAACTATGAAAATCTTATAATTCGGGAAAAGCAAAGAATGGTGGGATACATAGCAATTACCCTAAAGATATTCATTTCAGCAATTCTGGTTAATTCCAGGCCCTGGAATCATGAACAAGGGTTTATATATTGGGTAAATTGCTTTATGACGAATTACGGAGAAATCTTCCAATTACTTTTGTGCTAGAATTATATCGTGTTAAGAGTGTTTACAGCAGTTTGGACATTCAAGTGGACTTAGTGTGTTACTTTTTCTCTTCCACTGAGATGTTCACCATTTTCCATTAGCTTTGTTGAGATGCAGCCTAAGAATATGTCATTAGCTAAAAACCGAATGGTGCTATTGTTCGTACAGAGAACACATAACAAATTTGTTGACTAAATGTGTTCCTGTTTGCTTATGGGGCATATTCTGCTTATAGATGAGCAATTTTGAGCAAAAGAAGGATGGAAAGATGGCCTAATAGACTTTCCCAAAATATGTCCGTTATCGGTCCTCTGTAAGTGATTGTTGGAGGAATTTCCCGTCGGGAACAATGTATTATAGAGGAAATAATGAACTGCCCAGCCCATCACGTAAGAGTATGGAACAGTTCCATCCATCTAGTTCTTTATAGTCAACTTGCTGCATGGTTTTTTAATGTTATTTAAAAATTTTGTTAATGTTTATTTTTGAGACCGAGAGAAACAGAGCATGAGCGGGGGAGGGGCAGAGAGAGAGGGAGACACAGAATCTGAAGCAGGCCCCAGGCTCTGAGCCATCGTCAGCACAGAGCCCAGTGTGGGGCTCGGACCCACCAACCGTGAGATCATGACCTGAGCTGAAGTCGGATGCTTAACCAACTGAGCCACCCAGGTGCCCCTAATATTATTTATTTCTTTTGACAGAGAGAGAGAGACAGAGAGACAGAGAGACAGAGAGAGGCAGAGAGAGACAGGGTGTGAGTGGAGGAAGGGGCAGAGAGAAAGGGAGACACAGAATCTGAAGCAGGCTCCAGGCTCTGAGCTGTCGGCACAGAGCCCGACGTGGGGCTCGAACTCACGGACCTCGAGATCACGATCTGAGCCAAAGTCGGACACTTAACCAAGACTGAGCCACACGGGTGCCCCTGCTTTGCATGTTAACTGAAACTTGTGGGTGCTGGTGCCATGTTTTCACTTGGCCCAGGCCCAGGGTCACTGAGATGCCATACAAAGCGAGGGCTGCCTGTGTTTAGTACTTCCTTTATGCCAGTACTTCTCTCAGGACCTGAGGGTATAACGATCAAACAATCAAATATTTCTGCCTAAGAATGTTTACTTCGAGGGTAGCAGAAAGAAAATAAAGAGAAACAGATACATAGTGTGTTCGGTGGTAAATGCTAAAGAGAGAACAAAGGAGAGAGTAGAAGAAGAGTCAGGGGTCAGGGTGGAGGGTCGGTGTGACATAGGATGGCCAGGGAAGGCTCCGCTAAGAAAGGGGCCTATGGGCAGGCCGCAAAGGAAGTGAGGAAGCGGTCCACGTGGATATCTGGTGGGAAAGGATTCGTAAGATCAGCTGCCCCATGTGGGCTAAGGCTCACGTTCTTTTCTGAGAAATAGCTTTGGGGAGAGAAATTTTGAGCTCCGTGGGAGAGGGAGATTCTTTCGTACGGGATCGGCAGCTCTTCCGAGGCAACCAATGGCTACTCTAAGAGATATTTCCAAGAGAATCTTCAGCTCCCAAGGCCAAACCTGTACCTGTCCTGCCTGAGTATACAGTTTTCCGAAGACAGATAATTACTTGCGAAGTTGGTTACCACACACCCTTAGGGATCTCCACGGCCATTTGTGATTTGTACATCTTGGATCCTTACCCCCAGATACTGTTGCTTAGTTCTGATATCTGGCTTGCTAGAACTAACACTCTTTTTTTTTTTTTTTTTAATGTGTATTTATGAATGAGAGAGAGCACGAGCAAGAGAGGGGCAGAAAGAGAGGGAGACACAGAATCTGAAGCCGGCTCCAGGCTCTGAGCTGTCAGCCCAGAGCCCGATGCGGGGCTCGACCTCATGAGCCCTGAGATCGTGACCTGAGCTGAAGTCGGACTGAGCCACCCAGGCGCCCCTATAACTCACACTCCTGATGCAAGAACCTCAGTCTCTAGCTATGGGCACAGTTTTTAAAGATTGTACATGGAAGTTTTAATTACATCTTGGGTACCCCTCCCGTTTTGCCTAGTGTACGGCCTAATTCGTAACATCCTTCTCACTTGTGTCTCTTATAAAAGAGAGTTCTGGAACTGGGACTTGCAAGGACTCACAGCTCTCAATAGAGCTTTTGGAAGGGACTTGGTCTTTTTTGTTCTCTTACATGTACTTTAATGGCTTCTTCTAGCCTCTTCTTTAGAGAAAAAAGTAGTGGGTCTATTCAATCGATGATTGACGGGGACCTAAGTGGCTATAATACAATGTCATATTGGCTGCAGACCCCATCTCTGCTGGTAGGTTTACCTGAGGATAGGTAAATCCCTTTGGCATTTAGCTTGGCCAAAGACTTTGTACCTGCCATTTTGATAATAGGCCACTTCAGTAATTTTTGGACTAAGGCTCCAGGAAGAAGAACAAAATACGTCTCTCCTCGGGGCCCTTTCCCCAGCTGTTCTGTCTGGCATTACCTTCAAAATTTACTTAGACTCCACCACCTCTTGGAAGCACTCCATGACCCCGTCTTGTCCAGCTGAATCGCGTTTCCTCATCTTTTGTCTGACGGTATACTGTGCATAGTGCTGCCCTAACCTGCATCACCTGTTGCTACAATGCCTTTATGTTATTATCTGTTTCCTACTGGACAGTGAGCTGCTTAAGGGCAGGTGCTGGGACTCATTTCAACTCACTTCAAGTTTTTATTTAGGAACATACTACGTGCTGCGCACTGGGTTCGACTCTGGGAATTTGAAAGTGAACAGGACAGATATATTTCTGCCCTCATGGAACTTACAGTCCACGGGCCATGACAGGCATTAAGGAAATCATCACAGCCGGAAATTGCAATGACTAATTTTCTTGAGCCCAGTGAAGGAAGAATTCCAAGGTCCTGAGGTCCCGTTTGTTTCCGTCCCTTAGAACGCCAGCAAAATATTGGCATTGAGTGAATGTTTGATTTGAGTTGAATGAGGATTCCAACTTTAACCCTTCCGTCCACGGGTACACAGGTCCCTTTGTTCTGCGGAATTGACAGCTTTGTCCCCAGAGTGCAAATGAATAACTAGATACGTTTTGTGTTTTTTTAAGATTTCTATCTAAATGGAGATTTTATGGCTTTCAGAAATCTTTAAAACTTTCCCTCTCTCCTATGTGAATTCCACTATGGATTGAGGTATGGCATTTTTTCAATGTCTGATTTATATGCCCAGCAACAACTTAGCCTCCATAATTCATCGAAGACCCTGTCTAAGGAAGAGAGTGTTCTGGAATTTCCAAGACCTGTGGATTCCATCCAGAATACCACACAGCAACTCAGAGACACTCCCCCCCCGCTCCGCACCGCCACTGCCACTCACCTAAATCAGAGTTTCCAGCTCTGTTTGTGGAATATTGCCGTTTGGCTTCCAGCTTTATTGGGACACTGGGTTCCAAGGATAGCAATTAGGTGGTTCTTCGCCTGAGAAGGGAGGGGTGCACCTAGACTGCACATCGAGCCACAGGGAGAGCAGTGTGAAGGTGAGGCTCGTCTCAATCTCCTCCCCGTTGCCGCTGGCGCTCTGCAATCCACCCTTCTCCTCCGCGATACCTTTTTAAATCTCCCCATTATGTTCAACAGCATGTCAGCTGAGAGTTTGGGCTTACGAGATCATGTCCAATGGGCCAAAGTGTCTAAAATAAATGTTAGCTCATAAAACATACGTGGCATATCTGTGGGGCCCAAGCAAAGCCCACACAGAGGCAAAAAAAAAAAAAAATGAAGTGAGGTTGTTTAACCCAGCAGTGACAGGTATAGAAATGGGAATTTTTTTTTTCTTTTGGTTAACAGAATTCTTTCAACTTCCAGGCAGAAGAGAATATACATTTTGTTCCATGATAGAAAGTGACAAATCTGGATTTTTCCATGGCCTGGAAAGCCAGGCTTCCTAAAATCCATTCATTTATTCAGAAAGTCTTTCTGGAACATCTGTCCCATGCCAGGCACTATGCTTGGCACTGTGGATACATTTTTTTTTTTTTTTTTGCATTTTAAGTATAAACTGTATATTAAATTTAAACAACATTGAAAGTGAACATTTTTTTTACAAATTGCATCAAACACTTAAAACACAATTTGGGAATGTTAAACATTAACTGTCAGTTCGAAACGATGGCATTCACAGCACACATCCTTCTCCTGGCCAATATGAAGTTTGCTCAAACGTAGTATTTTATAGAAGCTTAACCATTAATCTTCCTAAAATTCAATGATTATGCTTCAACTTTATAAGCTTAAGCAAGTCTTCTATGTAATGCCCAGATAACTTTTTCAGATACAAAACATTTATACGAGTAAGGAAATCATAAAAACGTACATAAATTATACTGAAGGGTGAAATGAAAAGGCTGTCTATATACAGATCCATTTCACCTGAGAAAACACACACACACAGAAACCACCGAATAGAGGCACCACTACGTTCTCTTAGTTACGTTACGTAGCAAACTGCAGATCTATAAATGTCATTCTATTATGTATGAACTGAAAAAAATATATATATGTATATATTAAAAAGAAAAATGTCCTTGAAGACACGTGGGAGTGGAATGTGCCTGTGTTACCTGACTAGGAAAACTTTGCCCTTGAGGGACCCACGGCCCAGTTGGGGAAACTGACATTAACCATGTAAGCAAATAAATATGATTTTCAGCAGTGCTGACAGCTATAAAGATATAGCCAGATCATAGGATGGAGGGCCATCTGAGAAGTCTCTGATGAGGTGATATTCTAGACGAGTCCCAAAGAGTGAGAGGGAGCTGTCCAGATGAAGACAAGGAAGGAACCTTCTGGTCAGTGGAAACAGCAAGGGCACAGGTGCTGCTGAGGAAGGTGTAGGGGTGTGGAGTAGGCCACTTTGTCTGGGGTTAGTGAATGGGGTAGATGGAGGTGGGGAAGAGGGAGGAGGGACAGGTGCTCAGGTATTTGAAGGCCAAGATACAGAATAAAAAGTTCCTTCCAATTTAAGGATTTTAAGTAGTAGGGTGCAGTCGTGAGCCTTGCCCTGGGTTGGCATGGAGAACCCCTCTTTTTTTTCTTAATGTTCATTGTTTAGAGTGAGAGAGGGAGAGACAGAGCCCAAGTAGGGGAGGGGCAGAGAGAGAGAGGGAGACACAGAATTTGAAGCAGGCTCCAGGCTCTGAGCCGTCAGCACAGAGCCCGACGCGGGGCTCGAACTCATGACCCACGAGATCCTGACCTGAGCCGAAGTTGGACGCTTAACCGACTGAGCCACCCAGATGCCCCGGAGAACACCTCTTTAAGGTTGAGGAACACCACTTGTCTACCTGACAGGATCGCTCGAATCGGTGTTCTCCAGGGACCCCGGGCCCACAAACACAGGTGCACTTTGGGTGGCTTCCTCAGCACCTTAAGATAACTTGTGGCAATAATCTTGCCTTGGATTTGCAGAATAAACAAAGGCTTTGTCGAGCCTCTAGTTTGAGGTAACAAGTCACTAATGCTGTGTTTGCACACTCCTCAAGCGCCACGCGGAGCGGGCCCCTTCTGTAGCTTAACTCCACTCATTTGTTTGCTGGTTTGTCTGAAGCGTGTCATGTTTTCATATGACAAAACACACATACACCCCGGACGCCATTTAATATTTAATTCAAATAAATTGCTTACCATAGCAAATAAAATGTTTACATGCGTGAA